GATAGCTAGTCCTATAGCTATAAGACTCTCTTATGCCTTTTTATTGCAGTTCCCCTGCGCTATTATAGATAAACTGTTTTAAGTGTCCTTTAGCTTAGTTATATACCTAAAAAATCTTTTTCTTTTCTTTCCCTATACTTAATTATCTTATAGTAACGTTATATTATCTATACTCTTCTCCTACGCTTAGATCCACTAGCTAAGGGCCTAAGGAGGTCCTAGCTTAGATAGGTTTTACTTATAGAATTCTCTAAGCTTATGTAGGGCTCCTATAAAATTTAAGGTAGAGTACTAAGTAAGATCTAGATTGTGTCTAATCTAGCTTACCTAGTATTTTAGCTTAGAACGATATAACTTACTAGCAAAGATCTAGTCTACTTCCTATTCTTCTACGCCTTAGATAGGTACGCTAGGGGGCTTAGGAGCTTCTTGTCCTAAGAGGGGATCTTAAAGGTCCTTATATAACAAGTCTAGAGCAAAGACATTATAGATTTAGGATCTTACTAGTAGTTGTAGTTAGTAAGAGTAACTAACCTTTTTAAGAACCTTAAAGGGGCCTTCTTATCTTATAGCAAGCTTCTAGCTTAGATAGTTAATCGCTAGGTTCTTAATATCTAAGAACACTATATCGCTAATGTCCTAATTGATAGGGCGGCGATAGCGATTAACAGCAGATTGCATCTAGTCCTAGGCCTTCTCTATCTGCTGCTTAGCAGTGTCTTATATAGCATGCATGCGGGTAGTAAGCGCTAGAGCATTCTTATAGTTAAGTTTATTAGTAGGTATAAGAATGCTAGTAGGGTGCTTCTAATTCTAGCTCTACCTAGGTTTAGATCTATAAAGGATCTAATATAGGGACATACTAATAGAAGAGTGCGGTAGAGAAATTTAGGCACAATTAATTAAAGGCAGTAGCCCCCTTTGATTGTCCTAATAATAGGACATAAATAGACGTAGTCTCTAATTAATATATTTGTGTATAATCTCTATCTAACTATTAGTTTCCTTATAGTAGGTAGTGGATAGCTTAACTTTAACGCCTAGGATTTAACAAAACTTAGACTAGCAACTAAACACAAACTATAGTCCTTAATTAGAGATAATAGTCTCTAGGGTGTGTCTAAACTAATACACCTACTAGATAAAGAGTTTAGCTATACCCCTTACATTAATTGTCTTGTAGTAAGGGATAGAGATAGCCTACTTAGACAACTAGTTAATCGCGACTATAATCTAATTGTATCTAGCCTTATTCTTAGAAAATTTCTTAAAGTTAATATAGAGGTGTTACATTAGCTAATTAGGAATAGAGAGGGGGTGAATTAGCCCTAGGACTTAGGTCTGTCTTAGATAGGCCTTACAGCAGGCTAGGCAATTCCGCACGTACCTCTTATAGGTAGCTTCTATGCCTTTCTAATAATATTTCTAAGATAGTAGCTAATAAGTCTTCTTTACACTTAGGTAGGCTAAAGAGGCCTAATTGTGGGCCTCTTGGATCAGCCGTGTGCAAGCGGGGGAGTCTGGCAGCACGCAGAGATAGTTCGAATAGAGTAGTAGTCTGTTCTCTATCTAGTACTTGTCTAGGAGAGAGCGGCGCTCCTTTTTAAATAACGTCTAATTCTATTGCAACAAGAGCTTAATTAGCTTAAGAGAGTCTAGGAACATAGTCTCCTAAGAGGGCTTAACTACTAATAGAGAGGTAGCTTATTCTAATAGTTATGCTACATATGCCTTAGCAAGTTTAGAGTTAATTTAGTTATTAAGTTAGTATAGCCCTAAAAGGACCTATAAATAGTTATTAATTTAGGCAGTTCTTAAGTACTACATATCCTGCTTATAATAGCTAAAGATATTAGCGCAAGCGTTATCCTTACTAGGCGTGTATTAGATATAGAAGTTAAACAACGCAAGTTGTTTAGCCTATCTCACTTATCTAGCGTTTAGAACCTTAGTAGTTATAAAATACTCTAGCAAGCAGTAGTTAGAGTACACTTAGACTTAGGAGTAAGCTAAGGCTAACTTAGACCTCTACTTGTTAAATGCTACAATAATAGCATATAACTCTTTATTGTGTATCTTCTAGTTTAGCTCTAATCTAAATAGGACCTTACTAATAGAAGCTACTAGGCACTATAATCTATTTAGTTGTTTCTATAACAAAACGCCAGCTACAACCTTATTAGAGGCGTTAGTCTCTAGCTTAGTATTATACTTTAGGTAGTAGTGATATAAGATAGAGATAGTAAGTAGTAAGGCTTTTAACCTTTTAAAGGCCTAATCGTAGTCTAGATCCTATATAAATAGCTTTAATAGGCTTTATAGCGCGATAATAGGCTTTGCAATTTATAAGTATTCTTCTATAAATTATTAGTAGAATCCTATAAAGCTAAGGAACGACTTCACACTAGTGATAGTAGTGGGCCGGACCTAGTTTCAGAGGGCTTCGACCTTGTTAGGATCTACCTCTAGGCCTTAGTCTGTAAGGATATACCCTAAGTACTTAGTCTAAGTGACATGGAATTCGCTTTTCTTAATGTCTACTTAAAGTCCTACTTATTAGAGCCTTTCTAGTACCTTATAGACGTGCTAAATATATTCTAATATAGACTTAGAGTATATTAAGATGTCGTCTAAATAGGCTATGTAGAAGTTGTTAAGGTACTTGATTAATACATTATTTATATACTACTAATATGTTACTAGACTATTGTATAGACTAAATAGCAATACCTTAGTCTTATACGTTCTATAGCGGGTGCGAAATATGGTATAATTCTTAGAGTTAGGGTTTATATGTATAAATCTTATTAAGATCTACGCGTATATTAAGCTTAGTAAAGATCTTAGCCTTATAAGGATAGGCAAGTAGCTTATTAATACGTAGGATTAGATACGCATTCTTACGTATAATAGTATTAAGCTTATAGTAATTTACGTAGATATAGAGGTCTCTATTTAGCTTCTAAATACAAAGAACAAGAGAGGCGAAAGGACTATAGCTTAGGACAAAGTATCCCTTCTAGAGATTCTCTATAACAAACGCCTTTGTCGCTTAGAGTTCTTTAGTACTCTACTTATACAATAGACTAAACTAGTTTAGCAGAGGCTTAGTAAGAACAATCTTATAGTCGTATAGACAGTGTTTAGGAAGCTAGTTAGCTACTATTTTGCTAAATACATCTTAGTATAGATAGTAAATAGATAGAAGTCAATCCTAAACTAACTTAGTATTTTTAGAATCTTCTAGTAGTTGTCTATCTTTAAGTATCTAATTAATCTTATAAAGGCTTATTATAAAGAACTTATTTTCTTAAGGTTTTATAGTGTAATAGAAGGCATTAGCAGAAATAAGTGCAATGCAAGGGGGGGTAAGAGAAGAGGTAATGTTAGGTTAGGTTGATTTTAGGGTTGCGTTAGAAGCAGGTAGGAAAGGGTGAGTAGTAGGAAGTTAGAGTATTCCTTAAATTCTACCTACCTAAGCAGAAGCTAGGCTTTTTCTTCTCTAATATTTATTCTTCTTCTAAAGAGCGTTGCGCCTCTTAATATCCTTCTTAACCTTAGTGTTAATAGTTAGTTATTTTAATTGCACTAAGATAGGTAGAGTAAAATTATATGTTGCTATGTACTTAGCTAGCTATATAATTTAGTTTCGAACTATATCTAGTTAGAGCTAGAAGCAGCGTAGCTACTTAATTCTAATAATACAATTCTATAATCTTAAGTCTATAATAACAAATAGGTAGTTGTAGATCTTGCGGCTGTTAATTGAAAGGTGCAACTAGATATACTAGTTAACCCTTATTTAAACCTGATCTTAAAATCCTTTAACTATAATCTTGAAAGGCAGTCTTTAAATAAGAACCTAAAGTAAACTAGAAATAGTATAAGCAATTGCAGAATTTAGAAATAAGAACCCTTAGGCTCTAGTATTAACTAGCAAATGCAGGCTAACGCTGTAGCCCTTTAAGCAAAGAATAGTAGAAACTTAAAAGTGCTTTCCTCTAAATAAGTGCGATAGATTAATCTTAGCAAGGTCATATTTGTAAATGCCTAGGGCGGAGCGTTTTCCTAGGCTTCGTTGTTTCTTATCTAATCGTCATCTAGATAATATTCTATAGCTTTCTTAAACACTTCTTCTTCTTACACTGCTTCTATCTCTCTTACCTACGGGACTAGGCAGTCGTTCGCGAAGTGTCTAGGCTTGCTATAGTTGTAACAGTTGCCAGGAGTAGCTTAGCTTTCTAGCACTAGTGTCTTTAAGGCAGCCCTAGGTGCACTTAAGAGGGCCTGTGGTGAGGTTAGGGCGGGGTCGGACTTTACTCTATAGGTGGTGGGGCGATACTCCCTTATGTAGTTGACAATTAGCTTAGGTTTCGCCATTAAAGTGTAGGTAGTCTGTCGCTCTAATAATAGTACAATAGAAGCTAATCTCCTTTCTAGCTTATAAGTAGTAAGATGTTTACACATCTTATTAAAAAAGCTATTAAAGAAACGCTTTATAGACATATTAGGAACACGCAGGGCTAGGCTAATCTTCTACTATAGGTAGAAGGGCCACTCTAGTTTAGATACGTGTCCTTTAATAGCTAGACTAATAAAACGAGCTTTAAATTCTAGGAACAGTTCTCTGTCCTTTATAAATAGATAGTAGAAAGTAGCTTAGCTTTCTACCTACTTGTTGCTAGTTACAAAGTATAATTTAAGTAGCTTAATTATTTCCTTTACGTTTTAGAACTAGTACCTATCTACCTTAGATAGGTACTTAGGTTTAAGATATCCCCTAGTATCACCTAACGTGTGACTATACACTATTGCTATCTAGTAGCGTTCTATAAGAAAGTGATCTTTATTTAATATAAGATAGTCTTCTACTTTAGCTTGCTATTATAAGAAGGTAAGGTCTTTCCTATTGCTTAATTAGCTAATAGTAGATAAGATAAGATAGCTTAGTTAGCCACGTAGAGCCTTAGGGGTGGTAGATAGGAACCTTAGTAATTAGCTTAGAGGTTGTCCTACTATTATTAGTAGGTACGATATTATTTTAGAGCTCTATATTCTCTTAAGTTAACTAGCGGACTTAGTCTAATAGGCTAGCTATCTATCGCTAGACGTCCTTTATAGAGAGCTCTAGCTCTAAATTGTCTTCGTCTTCTACTTCCTATAGTAGTAAAGTCTCTAGAGATTCCTAGGCTAGCATCTTGCTAGCTTTCTTCTCTAGAATGGTTTAGTCCTGTATTTAAACTAATTTCTAGGGGGATTCCTTAGAACCTCTAGTTCTTGTAGGGTTAACTATTAGCAATTGCCTCTAAGGTTAATAGGTTATTAGTAGTCTCTATGTCTCTGCCTTAGCGCACTCTACGCAACTTTTCTAAAGTAATCTACCTTACAAGAAGCGCAGAAGTTCTAAACCTAAAGGTCTTAGTTAATAGGAGATCTATAGGATCCTGCCTAAAATAAATGTTAGATGTAACTGTATAAGTACTTAGATTAGTTCTAGATAACTTTAGGGCTTAGACGTGATCTTAAATAAACAGCTGCGATATTGTTTAGAAGCTGTTACTAGCTAGGACAAGACGTTTAATATAATGTAACGGCGCAGGTAAGGCAGGTTAGATCTGTTTTAGTTGTAGGATCACTTAGAGGCATATAGGAGTGCGTGGGATCACAAAGAGCCTAGATTTAACAAGCCACCTATAGGCCTTATACGAAAGGATATCAAAAGTCTATAGAGCTAGCTATAGGGAGTGTCTTAATATATACCTATCCTAGTTAGGTCCGAATTCAGATCTGACCTCGGGCGAATGGCTGATGAAGGGCGGCAGGTACTTCCTCCAATCTGGCTCTGGGATTGGCTCAATACTTGGCGAAGTTGTAACATCGTTACAGCTAAAGCTAGAATAGCTTTTAAAGCTATAAGCTTATAAGGCTAATTAAAATTACTTTATTTACTAAAGCTATTAAAATTAATATTAAAGCCTTCTTCAATAGATATATCTTTACTAAAGTCTAACTCAATTATATAATAATTTAGCTATTTAGTAGTTTTAATAATATAAGTAGTATTATAGCTTAAAAGTAACATAGTAATTCAGTAATATTGATAATATTTTAATAATTTATACGCGTTATATAGTAATAGTATAATTACTTTAGAGGCTACTAGCTTACTTAAAATAAAAATACCAAGCTTTTATACTAAATAAGTATTATTTAGTTACTAGGTTAGTTATAATATTTAGTACTAAGTTATTATATTATAGTACTAACTCTATATAGTTTAGATGTGTCTACACTAATGTAGACTTCTACTAAGTGGTAGGCTAGATAGCCGCTTAGTGGTAGGACGAATAACTTTTGCCCTTCACTCGCGGCCTGGCGCGAGATTGAATCCGCACGAGCCACTGCTGAGCCCAGACCACCTGGGTAGTAACTCTCCATGCCGAGTTAGGAAATGGAAGAATGCCGAGCTGGATGCTGACCACGTTGCTGACCTCGTTGCTGTTGTTGCACGAGCGCAGCGAGACGGTCCGACAGGTGTATAGAGCACCGTGTTCAAAGCGAGAGTGAGATTGACTCTCCCCGGGATTCCTTGTACAGAGCATCCTCTCCAAGCATGTCACACGCACCTCCGCCAAGAGCTAGCCGTGGAGATGAAGCAACATCATTTACTTGACCGTATTCAAGTTGGCATCAATCTGCACAGAGTAGCTTCTGGGAAAAGCATGAATTTGTACATCCCCGAGCAAGAGAGGTTCATACGAGCAGACAGTCGAGTCAACCCAAAGGCCGATATACAATCCGCGTCCAACAGAGCAGTTGTAAAGGTCTGCTCAATGCGATGCAGGGAAGAAGTGCAGGAGTAGCCAGTACTACTCCTTGTTTTGGAATAAGAAAGAGTTCCTAACCATAGTAAACAATGGGAAATTCTAGAGCCGATCAATTGCGGCGACAGGACGACTGCGGTGGATTGTGTTAAGATACTACTAAATGATCCACAGCATCTACGAACAAATTTCTCCTGTTTGACAGGTTGTGCCTGTGTAGAATTCAGCATATGTGTATTTTCTTATTCAAAAAAGAAACCACCCTTGTCTTCTACTCTGATGATGTTACTTAGCACATGTGAGAGTTTGTCGAAAAGAAAAAAGAAAGACATATCATGTTGAAAGGGCAGATTTCATATTCGTCATAACATACAAAACGCCAATTGGATGCAGCCCGTACGCATATTAATCCCTACTACATTAATTCCTTTTACTCCTGGCAGCCCTATTCCTTCTTCTTCACTTGACCCTTGCTAACCTTGACACCCTTTCCCCGGAAATCGTTCGCATCCGGCGCATCACTCTTCCCCAAGCCCAATTCTTCGGCCTCCTTGTCCAGTTGCTTTTTCTGGTTTTTCGCAGCCGCATTCAGGAGATATGGGCGGATCAAGAGGTAGCCGCCCACAATGGCGATAATTCGGAGCCATCTCTGGGCAGTCATTTCTTCGAATGACTTGATTGAGTTGTTGACGAAGCGGTCCTTCCATTCGCCGACATTGTCGAGTATGTAGTCCATGATTGTTGTTGGGTGTAGGCGGGTTGAGGCGCGATGTGTGCGCAGGACGTTGTGTGACTGAAGGCTGGATTGGTTGTTGGGGGTGGTGGATTGAGACAGGCGCAGGTGTATGGGTGGCTTCTGGGATGATGGATTGAGGAGATGTCGATGCAACGCGCTTTCACCACGGCTTAATTGTATTGTTAGGAGAGACGCTATCGGCAGAAATCACGTGCAGCTCTATCGATAAGTAGCTGTGCGAGAAATCACTCAACCACAATCGTGGCATTCCCGTGGCAGAACCACGGGCGGTGAGGCCCCACCGACCCACGAACGCGTCGCGCCCGTCGCCGTATTGCCATTGTTCACGTCGCAACCGCATCGCATCCGCCATTCCACCAAATGGAGTCCAACGATGAGCGCCTCAAATCAGCCCTTTGGTATGCAATAGGCCAGTTCGTCGACGAAAAGTCGTTAGAGAGCGACCTGAACGCAACGCCGCAATTCATTGGTGCTCTGACTGAGCTGGTCTATACTCAAGTTGGTACACAGCGACCCCCGGCCCCCAATGACTGCAACACAGTTGCTAATTCAATTCGCAGCAAACACAGCGCGGGACCTGGAAGTCTTCTCCAAGCACGCCGGACGTAAAACAATCAATCCAGACGATGTTCTCCTCCTCGGCAGACGCAATGAGCAGCTCCAAGCCATGTTGGAAAAGGAGCTAGAGGACATTAGAGCAGCAGAGGGAAGACAGGCAGACGGACAACCAGTTGTCCGCGCACAGCCAGCGGCGGCGGCAAAGAAGCGAGGGAGACCTGCTGGCACTGGCAAGGGAAAGGGGAAAGCTTGATGGCCTGCAGCAGATGGCGGCATCTTGCATGCATTTTCTGGGCGTTTGGGAACTGTACCACGATGACCGCAAATGTGTATCCATAATGACTTGTATGACACGATATTTTCTCTTAGGAACGAGTGATTGATTGATTGATTGACTGTGGTGCCCTAGTGATTTTCAAGTTAATAAGTTTTCGAGTGGTGGTTGAGGCCCCCAAGTACGCTCGAAACGCTGGGGGCCAATCATTCCATCTGTGAGCCAACTTTCCAACACATCAACTGCAAGCACCACCTCTTCTCATCATCACCAATCCATTCCAAAAGCCAAGTCACGCAGACGCAAATGCAGTTCCCAGAGCAATGCCTACAACCAAACAAGCACATTGGTGTCCTCAGGACTCATCAAGCGTTTGTGTGTCGAGCCGCATTGATGCTGTCTCAATCGCATACAAAGCGGGCGATTCTCGCGTTTCTAATGTCGAGACAGTCCACATCGGAGAAGCCGGTCTTCTCTGAACTGCGCTTGTCATCTTCTACACCCCATCGGCACACGCCCTGAAACGAGCACCGTTACTGGATATGCATTCCATCGACTTGGATAATATGCAGTCGCCCGCCCCAGCATACAGTGCCGCCTTTCACCCACATGTGGTGCATATACCTCGGCCCACTGGATTTGCTGCCATGACCAAGAGCGATGATTCGAAACCCTCAAACTATCGATTCGCCAGAGCTGAAACGCTGGAGCACGCCGTTCTACAAGACGAAGCTCCACTTAAAGGTGGCGCGGTTCAGCCTGACTGGTATCCCCACTTCGCCAGGCCGGCACTTCCTGCACGCAACAGACTGCCACGAAAACGTATTCTCGTTCCCTGGCTCCTGTGTACAATATTCTTCCTCATCACCCTCTGGTTTACGTCAATATTGGTTGGCGCACGGTTCTTGTCGATCGTCAGACCAAGCCTCGTTGCACAAGAGATCCACATCTACATTGATGGAGAGTTATTCGAGGCGGAGGCGACGTCTCAAGGATCCCATGCCGCTGCAACTTCTTCCGCCCCGATGCCAAGCCCAACAACACCCAACATAGGCAATGATCTGGGGAGAGCTTCCTCCGACATTGGGGGCAGGATTGCACCGGCGCCTACGGGTTTCGTAACGATGACCACGAGAGCGAGAGCCTGATCAACCCTTTTTCTGATCGAAGTTGCCCCACTCCAAGCGCCCGCACCCTCGCCATGAACAGCCTTGTCATGAACAGCCTCATAAAGGATGCCGACTGTGGATACGTTTTCGCCTTGGACAGAAGCAACTACAGGCTTGCTAGTCATTCATCGTTCTTCATTTCCGTTTTTGAGGGTCCTTTCTGGATTTCCCGTCGAGTTTTCGAATTCTTCCGGTCTTTAGCAAGCCATTTACACGGCTCGGTTAACAAATGCCCGATCTGTGCATGATAATGGCGAGTCGCTACAGGAGCCGCTGATAGTAGCGTTTGGGTGCAGTCGTTGTTTTGAAACAAGCACGGTACAGGCTTGAAACTAGCCACTTCTCCACCCCGATATGCATCTAATTTCGGAAGCCGCCTTTTTCAATATGGTGCATGATGGTTTAACCACATAGAGTAGTGGCACCGCTTCTTGTAGACAAGGCGCTGGCGTGTCGCGACTTGGCTCCCAGGAAAAACAACGTCGTTTCCGCACCCAGCGGCTGGCATAGCGCAAACGGCTGTCAGGAAGGATTCACGGCGGTTCACCCTGATATTCGGAGACAATGCATCCTGCGCAGGTGTCCAAGTCATGTAGAAAGAGATCGGCGTTGGGTGTTTAAAAGCGCTGGGCTGTCGCCAACTTTCTTCATCATCTCAACGGGCCAGTCCTTTCCTTGACACATTCACTTCTCTTGTTCTACCCCATACATTCTTTTGAGTTCATCTTTGTGATCAGGTATCACTCGCAACATCCTCTTTACAAGCCAAACATTGTACATACTTCACATCTACTTCACCATGTTCACCAAGGCCCTCTTGACCACTGTTCTCCTCTCTGCAGTCTCGGCCCATCAGAACCTCCAGCAGTTCTGGGTCAACGATGTCTCTCCTGGCCGTCAGGTCGGAATCCGGATGCCGCCAAGCAACAGCCCCGTTACGGATGTGACGAGTGACGACATTGTCTGCAACGTCGGCGGCTCCAAGGGCTCTGGTGTCAAGACGATCGAAGCTGCCGAAGGCGATACGATCAAGGTCGGCTGGGATAACTCTGGCCACCCCGGTCCTATCACGCACATGCTCTATGGACCTGTCGACGATGCTTCCCAAGCGACTGGTATCGGTGCCGGCTGGTTCAAAATTGACGAGGCAGACTACACAAACGGAAAATGGGCTAGTCTTCTGATGGAACAAGACAACATGACCCACACATTCAAACTCCCTACTGTTCTTGCCGCTGGCGAGTACCTGCTCCGCTCCGAGATGCTGGCACTCCACAGTGCACAGACTAAAGATGGTGCTCAGTTCTATATTGGATGCATGCAGTTGAAGATCAAGGGCACTGGCAGCAAGGGCGCATGCACGCCTCAAATCGAGCTTCCTGGCGCGTACAAGGCCGATGACAAGAATATTTACATCCCCAACTTTTACAACGGCTTCGACGCTACCGACTACAAGGCTCCTGGAGGCCCATTGGCTACTTGCGGTGGTGCCGGCGGTGCTGCTCCTCCAGCCTCAAATACAACAGCCCCCCTTCCGAGCCTTGCTCCGGCTCGTCCTGCCAGTAACAGTACCGTACCTTCAGCAACGCCCATTGTCCCCACGACATTCGCCACGCTCGTTCTGCCTTCTGCAGGCATTACGCCTCCTGTTGGTGCCGTCCCTACCGGCTCTGCGGGAGCAGCGAAGTTATATGAGCAGTGCGGTGGCCAGAACTTCAATGGCCCGACTACGTGCGAGAGTCCTGCAAAGTGCGTCAAACAGAACGACTTTTACTTTCAGTGTGTCAACTAGAGGGTGTCGACGGTACAGCGAGGGGAAATGTGGAGGTGCTAGGTGCGAAGAAGAGACGGTGGATATTCGTGTACATATATTTAGCTTCAATTGAAACATTCATTTTCACACTACTATTCTCAGACATGTTTGTGCGATGACAAGATGCGTGCTCGAGTAAAACGCGTGTGCCGCTTATTGGCACATACGTACGACATGGACAGGCAGGGATATGGACTACAGATCGTACAGCAACTTTACGGCTGTTTCGGACTAGAGCGGTCAGCGTCTCTCATTGGCTGTCTTTTACAGAGATAGTGTAGGCGAGTTTTCAACCTGTGCTTTTCTTTGTTATTTTTCTAGGTCGCGAAAATGAGCTCTCGTATTATTATACATGGATGTGTAGTCTAGCACTACCAGAAAGAGAAAGGTTGGGGATCCTAAATGCCTCAATAGTAAGCAGTAGAGCCTCACAGCATATCACCAAGCTACATGGCGATGGCAAGCTGAAAATAGTAAGGACCCCTTGTATGTTCTGTTGTGCCTCAGAGCGCATGTTAATCATGTAACAACCGGAGAAATCAGGACGTGAAGTGCTGTATGCACTATGCGGGAACGAGATGTTCGAGAATGTCAAAAGCAAGTATGTATGCGCGCCGCAGTCCAGGCATGATGAAGGAAGCGCATGCGACATTGAGAGGTCTGGGCTAGGGCTAGGGCTAGGGCTGACGGCTTGGAATTCACCGCCGAAGCGCAAAAAAAAAAGAAAAAATACAACAAGGAGCGGATTCGACCGTGGCTGCAGGTTCAATAAAGTGTACACGCACGCGCGTTATTCCTTACTCAGGATTTGCGATGCTGTGCGTTAGCGGCACCTTTCTAGGCGCGGCGCCCATGGATTCTGTAAGCCGTGTTTCACAAACGCCGCCAGTCGCGTATGGAGCAAGCCTCGATTACTCCGTTTGCACTGCACAACCCCTCTGCCCCCCTGTGACCAGCTGGCGTTGAAGAGCGCGGGAATACCCAAGACCGAGAGCTTGTTTGCCATTAAGAAGACATTCAAGATACACATAGACCCGCCCGGTGAAACCAGCTTGGAAGGGGGCGCCCGCTGTCGTAACCTTCCCCGCCTCCGAACGGACTAGGGTCGATCATACCTACTCCCTTCCTACACGTCTAGCCCGCACCCTCGACACCACGCTCACGCCACGCTTCCCGCATCGACCTTGCCGTGCAGTCTACGCCTGCCTAGAGCAAGAGTGTAAAAAGTCCCCCACATCGCCGGCACTTGGAGTGTTTGGCAACCCCCAACCGCCCTCAATCGTCCTCACCGCCGACCCCTGCAAACATGGCGGACAAACCTGACAGGCCCGCCAGCACGCACAGTTCCGACAAAGAGGGGGTAAGGGTTCGATTGCTTTGTTTCTATCCCCCTGCTGTACTAGAGCCAGCGTCTCGGATTGCAAGTTTGCTAACAGCTATGCGGCGGTGAAGGATAGTTTCGAAGACGCACCGGAAACCTCCTCCCTCGCCGACTCGCACGAGGAACGGTCACAGTCACGCTCCCGCTCTCTGCTACAACGAAAGTCCTCGTCCTCGACCGTACAAGAGACCAAAACAGACGCGCCTCCATCTGCTCCTGCCGCACCTGCCGCACCTGCAGCCCCCAAGGCTACCAAAGACGAGAGCGAGGACAGCGAAGAGACAGACGAGACAGATGAGTCGGACGAGTCTGAAGAGTCTGAATCGGACAGCGAGCCCGAGAAGACAGAAAAGCCCGAAAAGCCCGAAAAGCCCGAAAAGGTAGAAAGGGTAGAAAAGGTAGAAAAGGTAGAAAAAACAGAAAAGGCAGAAACGACAGAACAGGTAGAAAAGGCAGAAACGCCCAGCGAGGATGCACCGGCCAAAAAGTCGCCTCTGCTCACCGCACATGGTGTGTCGGTAACATCGGACATGGACGATGTGTCGTTGGACGGCGGTATGTATACCTTGTCCCGTTTGAAACCAACAAGCTGCGTGAATGTCAGGTTGCTCGCGTTTCAACGTCGCGAGCGCCCACATTCTTGGCCATGCCTGCCACCTTGCAGCTTGCAGACGTCTGCTAGCACACACGTCCTCATCTCGAGGCTGACACACTGCAGATGGCTCCAAGGCCGTAGGCTCGCCGCCAAAACTACCCGCACGAAACTCCCAAGACTCCACCGCTGCGCTTCAAGGCCTCTCTGGAAGAATGTCCCCCGTCAAGTTCCCCCCACCGCCGCCACCGCCAGCCGCACAAGAGAAACCCGCGCAGGAAAAGCCCGCGCCCGCATCCAGAAAACTTACTGGCCCTTTTGCATGGCTATCGAGGAATAGCTCTAGTAAGAAGCCCGACTCTACATCATCCACAACCGTGTCAGAACGGCGAAACACTGGGGCCTCTATTGCGACTATTGGTAGTAATCATGAGCTCAATTTGAGTAATAGTGATGGGGACGTGGGCTCCAACCGCAAGAGCCAGGGCAGCCTCCGGGACCGTTTCAAGTTCCTACGAATGAGGGAAGAAGCTGGTATAACGTTGGACGAGGCCAACCCAGACGGCAGCCCAAGTACGGTGCCGACCAGGCCAACGAGTATCGGTCAGACCAGTTCGAATGGCGCTGCTGAGGAGGAGCCAGGAAGCCCACCAGCACTCACGAGACAGCCGACGGTCAATCCCAAGCTGGCCCTGCTGTTGAGCCAAAGAAGCCATTCTCAAGGATCGAGTTTGCTGAAGGGGCCTTGTCAATGTACACGTCAAACAGTCGCTCCTTGAGGAAGGTTGTGAGCGTGGACATGTCCCTCATTCCAAGCAACGTTTCGGCGTTCTTTTGCATCAGCACAATACCAAACTTCAGAATCGCCGATTCGAGGCCTTCGCTGAGGATCAAGTCGTAGATGCGCAAAACGAGCTGCAGCGGGAAACGGTATGCGAACAAGGTAAGGAACCATTGTGTGGCATAGAGCTGAGGCTTGACATCCTTGCGGCGCAAATGGCAGTAGAGGGCGGGCTCAAAGTCTTCGAGAAGGCGTTCAAACTGGTAGAGATGCAGGTGGAGTCCAGGCATGTCGTGTACAAACAGGTCACGCAGACCGTATTTGTTCATTAGCGTTACGAAAAGACTGAAGGCTTCTTCTTCGGGCATCTGGTAACGTCAGTAGTGTAACAGGAACAGCATGTGTTTGACTTACGTTGAAAAGCAGAGGCATAGCAATGAAATTCATGCCCTGGGCGTAGCCAACAGCATCGTCATACAGAGCGTAGGCCTTGCAAATACCAAAGAGGCCATCTTGCAAACCAGCCGCCATGACATACTTGGAGTAGCTGGTGCGGGCACCCAAGTCACGCTTGATGACCTTTTCTAGTTTTGAAATGGCAATAGTGCTTTGCCTCTTCTCCGCAGCCTTGGCCTGTGCCTTGACTGGGTCTTCAGAGTTTTCTGTAGAGAGGGGTGGCGAGGCCAGTGGTGCGTTTGTACTTCCAGTGGTTGTGGCTGGGCTCGAGTAGTCTGAGTGAACCGAAGACGATGACGAAGCAATTGACTCCTTTCCGTTTCCGCTTGCCTGTCCATTGCTGAGAGTGGACGTGCTGACGTTCGCATGTTCCTTGTCGGTCCCGCGGGCTACGAGTTCTCTATACGTGACCTCGAGTTCCTCGCTCTTGCTTTGCGCTAGCACTTGCCAAATAACGCCACGGATGACTTGGGGGATTCCGTTTGCAATGGCACGGTTGAGTTCCTCTGCGCTAGTACGAGCGATGGCGGCTGGCCCTTCGTTGACCACAGACTGCCACAGATCCCAGTCCACAGGCTCGGCCGCATCGCCCGCCGGACCAGCCGCGAACCCAGACGCAGTTCCGGGATGTTGATAAGGAGATTTACCGCGCCGATACCCTTGTCAAGGATGCAGTTGCTGTCAAGATTGCACCAGAAACACTGAAGCAGTACACTGCCGAGTGGAAAGAGCAGCAGCGGATCGAAAAGGACCGTGAGACGGAGCTTTCGGGACTCAAAGAAAAGGTTGCTTCTCTGGAGCAAAAGGTTCGGTCATTGGAACACCGCGCCGAACAGTCCGACATGGAACACGTTCAAGTCGCCTCGGAGCTTATCAAAACCAAGGTTCAGAACGAGAGCCTGGAAGAAGAAAACGAGACACTCAGAACCAAGGTAGAGGAGCTGCAGAAAATTGTCGACACACAGCCTGCCGAAGTCGAGGCACGGCTCAAGCACGAAATGGAGACTGTGATGCAGAAGAACATCATTGTGCACAACGAGAACCGCAACCTGGAAGACTCCATGGCCGAAATGGAAAAGGAGCTGGTGGACGTCAAGATGCAGTGGGCCACGGTAAGCACTACAGCTAGTACGGGTCTAGGCACAGCTAACGAAGCGAGCAGATTAACGAAGAGCATGAAGCGCTCAAGCAAAAATGGAACAATGTTTCACAGATGATGAAAAAGTAAGCTTGGGGTTGGAATTCATCACATGTGCATCGGAGGGCGTCTGGGTTGAATTGCATGTAGCACGCAGGCGCCACGACCTATTGGGTACCAGATCTATTCCGTCGCGTCGACCGCCCCTTGATTCGTTTCTAATGTCTATATACACATCATGCGCTCTGTCCGGAATACACCTGGGCAGGGTCTTGTACGTTATTCGCCTTGCTTGGGCGGCCTTGGACCACACGCACCGCTTGGATGCCCAAAGCGCCAACGCACACGGCGGCTGCAGTTTGAGTATGACTCGATTTGGATAGTTTGCATGAGTACAGGAGCAGGGCTTGGGAATTGGCAGTTATAAAGCGAACTGGGGGGGAGGGCATATACGTCTATAGAGCAAGACGCACGGCGTTATTCATTGCTGATTTTGATTCCATGGTTGCGCGCACGCCTGGCGGTGGGTCGTCAATACAACCAAATGACATTACAAAGCCATGATGGACCCATGTGCATGCCGAGTGTAGGCCGGTGCTCTCGCTTTGGTCCTGGCCCCATTTGCATCCCAGCCCAGCCAGCCCAGCCAGTCCAGCCAGTCCAGTGCCTCGACAGCGAGAAACTTGGAACCTCTCGGTTAGCAGGCACTAGTGGCCTTAGCGTGCTAAAGCTGCGTCCAACTCCTCCTTCCTTTCGCCGCGACAAAGATTCCACCACCGACAGCCCACGGCGCGACCAGCTGCCGTTTTTCCCGCCCCCCTCACCGATACCATCTCCCTCGCCATCGGTCTTGTTTCTTCGCTTGAACACTAATCTTCTGGTCGCGCGCATCACGCCATGGCCGCTCCCCCAGACCTCAACGCCATCCTCGCGGCGCTCGGTATGTTTCTCAGAATCTTCAGTCGCCTGCGCCCACGCACATGCTGACCCTCTCCCTCAGCAGCCGGACGGCCTGCAACCACGCCATCCCAGACGCCCCAGCAGCCCCCGGCCGCGCAGCATCCCCCTCCGCAGGGCCTTCCGCCAGGCTTCCCTGGCGCAATGCCCACTGCCACCCCGCCCACGATGCCTGGTGGCTACAACTTCCCCCCTCCCACACACTCTGGCAGCCTTGACCTCAGCGCCATCAAGCCCGTGAGCTCTGGCTCTGTGAGCATCCAGGATGCGCTCGCAAAGGCGCGCGGGTTTGCGGCTCAAAAAGGCCTTGCCCATGAAGCAGCGCGTCCAGGTATTGCTGAACCTTGGTCTGGTTATGGTATCCCAGCGCAAACTTACACGCCTCCAGCTTACCAAGAAGATCCGCGACTCAGCGGACGCCAGCCCTACCGACGTTCTCGGTCGCGTTCGCGCTCTCCGGTGCGCCGTGAACCCGTGCGTGAAAGCTACAATCCATACCGCGACGAGCGCCGTGATGAGCGACGAGGCGGCTATGGTCGTGACCGTGATCGCTCGCCCCCTAGACGTGACACCTTCTCTCCCTCGCAGCAGTACGGGCAAGCTCGTTCGCCGCCTGCTAATGACAACTCTGAGGTGATTCTGATTGACTCGTCGTTGGTTGGTCTTGTCATTGGACGTCAAGGTGAGAGTCTCCGCCGCATTGAACAAGAATCACAGACACGTATTCAATTCATCAACGGCCCCGAATCCGGACCTCAGCGCGAATGCCGCATAACGGGCAGTCCTGGTGCTCGTATCAGTGCCAAGCGCGAGATCAACCGTATCATCGAAGAAAATGGCGGCAACCCTGCTCGTGAGACTGGCCGCAATGCTAGGCCTACTGCCAAGACGGTTGGCCAGCAACAACCCGCGCTTAGAGAGGGTGAGCAGTCTTCGCAGATTATGGTGCCTGATCGTACTGTTGGTCTCATCATCGGCCGTGGTGGTGAGACTATCCGTGATCTGCAAGAGCGCAGTGGTTGCCACGTCAATATCGTTGGTGAAAACAAGAGCGTGAACGGCCTGCGCCCTGTGAACCTCATTGGAAGCCCTGCCGCTGCTGCCTATGCCAAGGAGCTCATCATGGAGATTGTCGATAGTGACACTAAGCAAATGGAAGGCACCGGCAGCCAGCAGCCACCATCGCAGCAACAGTTCAACAGGCGTGATAACTTTGATCCCTACGGTGGTGCTGGTGGCGTTGGCGCCGGCAAGATCAATGACAGCATCCATGTCCCATCTGACGCTGTTGGCATGATCATTGGTAAAGGTATTACGAGCTGACTCGCGTGTTTGCAAGGCCCATACTAACAACACACTAGGCGGTGAAACCATCAAGTCCATGCAGTCGGAGACTGGTTGTAAGATCAATGTTTCGCAAGCCTCTGGCGCTGACATAGAGCGCGAGATTGGCCTTGTCGGAACCCGTCAAGCCATTGATGATGCCAAACGAGCCATCTGGGAGAAGGTCGATCAAGTGGTGAGTTTGCTCAAGCCACGTCTTTTTTTGACACTGTGCTAACAGAAGCCAGCGGGAGAAGAACAACTCGCGCCGACGTGACAACGGCAACCAAGACAATGGCTACTCACATCAACAGGCACCCTCCTATGGACAGACTGCTGCGCCAGCGCAGGCCCCTCCAACGGCTGCACCAGCTGCGGGTGGTGCCGCTGCTGACCCATATGCCGTCTATGGCGGCTACCAGAACTACCTAGCCATGTGGTATGCATCCATTGCACAGCAACAACAGGGCAGCCAAGGTGCCCAGGGACCTCCCGGCGCATAGTCGCCACCTAGTCGCTGTGACCGATGCACATCTTGCTGAACTTCGCCGAATACTGCATGTTTGCATGACCCATGCTTGGATCTTTGCTGCGCCTGGCATGATTACTATACCCGATTTCCTGGACTTTTTTTCGACTTCTTGATCTGCGCATACCCGATGTTTTTCATGACCTGCGGATGATTCATTTGCACTTCATGCCCTCCCCACCTCTGGCTGTCGTCGAGCACACCGTATTCGATAATGTGGCTTTTGACTGTGCTTGCGAGCGGACATGGTTATCGTCGTCGCTGCCTTGCGTGAGCCGATCATCGATTGATCTTTGTCTGCCGTATGGATGACTGCTGCCAACCACCAAGCCTACGTACGGATCACGCCGATAGCTGTGCGTCCATGTTACCATTGCCACATCATGATCGATGGTGCATCGTCTCGGCTTGTCAAGCCCATCTTGCGAGGTCCCCACCGTTTACATATACGTCTGCTATCTGATTGCGTGTATCATGCGTTCGCCCTCGGTACATGCATTATCTGCAAGGACGCCTTGGACTATGCGCAGGACCCTTTTTTTTTCTCAACAAAAGCATTTGCTGCCTCTATGCGCGTTCCTTGTCGCATGCGAACCCCCGGTTATTGTTTGCCCTCTGCAGATGACTTGTGGTTGGTTGCAAATTGCTATGGATAGTAGTTTGAACTACATGTACATACATGGGTTGTAGGGGCACAGGGGCAACATTTTCCTTTCTCGTCCTGTACAATACATAACTAGAAAAGGAGCCACTGCGCTATGTAGCTTGCTCTGACCAGAAATCATTCCTCTTTTGCGCGAAGAAAAAAAAGATCATGTCTATCTCGGCTGCTTGCGATGTGTGATTATAACACGTGACAGGGAATCCCTGGTCGGCAAACTCCTCCTCCCATGACAGCGGACTTCGCCATTCGCAGCGGCGCCACGCCCCAAGACTGAATTCAGCGACCGCTCACGTGCGCGTCGCAAAGCTGCGAGGTGGGGCAACGTATGGAGGGGCATAGGGTATCGGCGAGCTCCGCAGACGCGTCCGCAGATAAGACTGCAACACGTCGACGCTGATTCGCGCAGCTGCCGTTGGTTGCTGGACTGCATTACCCAACTGACAGCTTTTAGTCTCCAATGTAGCCCACCGCGGGACATGTTCTAGCAGAGTCACATCTAGCTTGCTCTCCGTCCGTTCCCCACACACAGCGTCTGGACGAAGGACCCTGGGGAGCCAGCCGTGTGCTTTCTGAAAGGGACAAGCTTGCAGCACCCTTTTCTGTGATACCGTTGTCTTCCTCCCGCTTGCTTTTTCTTTCTCCTCTTTTCCCTTTCTCGCTTCATTTGCGGTGCGTTGGTGTTCCCTCTCCTCTACACCTTCGTTTCCCTCGCCCTTCGTCCTCGGCCAGACACGGCAGTCGTAGCGTGGCGACCATGGCACCAGGACTTACTTCTCCACAACCTGCTGTGTCGAGCGATGCGCTCAAGTCGCTCAATCAAGTCACGGCCGACTACGACGATACGCTGCGCTTCTACCTGAATGGAACAAAGGTCGTGTTGGATACTGCAGACCCTGAAGTCACTCTGCTCGAGTATCTGAGGGGAATTGGGTTAACGGGCACGAAGCTGGGATGTGCTGAGGGCGGGTGTGGTGCGTGTACTGTGGTATGTTTGATTGTTTGCCACTTTACACTCTTGTGGCTGGGTGAACAAGAGAGAACTGACGGGCTGCCAGGTCGTATCACAATTCAATCCGACTACAAAAAAGATCTACCACGCCTCGGTAAACGCATGCCTAGCGCCCCTTGTCAGCGTAGACGGAAAGCACGTAATAACTGTCGAGGGAATTGGCAATGTCAAGCGACCACATCCGGCGCAGGAACGCATAGCCAAGGGCAATGGCAGCCAGTGCGGGTTTTGCACACCAGGCATCGTCATGTCCTTGTATGCTCTACTCCGTAACAATGTTGGGCCGTCCGAACTCGAGGTTGAGGAAGCCTTTGACGGCAACCTTTGCAGATGTACGGGGTACAGGCCAATATTAGATGCAGCGCAGAGCTTTAGCGTTCCCAATGGCTGTGGTATGGCAAAGGCCAATGGTGGCGGCGGATGCTGTATGGAGAAAAACGGCGGAAATGGCGGAGGATGCTGCAAGAGTAATGGGACAGATGGGGAGGAGCAACCGATCAAGAGGTTCACGCCGCCTGGATTCATCGAATACAAGCCCGACACAGAACTCATCTTCCCTCCACAGTTGCGGAAACACGAGTTCAAGCCTCTGGCATTTGGAAACAAGAAGAAGAGATGGTATAGGCCGACGACTTTGCAGCAATTACTGGAGATCAAGGATGCGTATCCCTCAGCAAAGCTGATTGGTGGTTCGACGGAGACACAGATTGAGATCAAGTTTAAAGGCATGAACTACAATGCGTCAGTGTTTGTGGGCGATATCCCAGAGCTACGCCAGTTTAAGCTGCATGATGATCATCTCGAGATTGGCGGAAACGTTGTCTTGACTGATCTTGAAGAAATCTGTAAAGAGGCTTTGACGCACTACGGACCAACACGGGGCCAGCCATTTGCCACAATCTTAAAGCAGATTCGGTATTTTGCGGGAAGGCAGATCAGAAATGTGGGCACACCAGCGGGTAACCTTGCAACGGCGAGTCCCATTTCAGATCTTAACCCCGTCTTTGTCGCTACGAATTCTACGCTGGTTGCGAAGAGCCTCAAGGAGACAACGGAAATACCAATGTCAAGCTTCTTCAAAGGCTATAGACAAACAGCGTTGCCACCAGATGCAGTTATCGCGAGCCTGAAGATTCCAGTTGCACGAGAAAAGGGCGAGTACATCCGCGCATACAAGCAGGCAAAGAGGAAGGACGACGATATTGCGATTGTAAATGCCGCGTTGAGAATCTCCCTGGACGAGCAACATACCGTTGAGAGCGTGGACTTGGTGTACGGCGGCATGGCACCCACAACAACACAAGCGCGAAAGGCAATGGAGTTCCTCAAAGGAAAGAAATTCACCGAGCTGCAAACACTCGAAGGAGTGATGGATCAACTTGAACATGATTTCGACCTGCGCTTTGGTGTACCCGGCGGTATGGCGACTTACAGAAAGTCACTTGCACTCAGCTTCTTTTACAAGTTCTACCACGAAGTATTAGCTGAGCTACACGCTGAAGAGATTGAGGTCGATACCCAGGCAATCGGAGAGATTGAAAGAGAAATCAGCAAGGGAAAGAAGGATGAGAAGGCTGCAGAGGCGTACATTCAGAATGAGGTCGGCCAGTCGAAGAACCACGTTGCTGCTATGAAGCAGTGCACGGGAGAAGCGCAATATACAGACGACATTCCATTGCAACGGAACGAGCTTTATGGCTGCTTGGTACTTTCGACAAAAGCGCATGCGAAGCTACTGTCGGTAGATGCGGAGGCTGCTTTGGGATTGCCCGGCGTTGTCTCGTACGTTGACCACCGGGATCTTGCCTCGCCCGAGGCCAACTGGTGGGGAGCACCAGCTTGCGACGAGACATTTTTTGCGGTCGACGAAGTCTTTACTGCAGGTCAGCCAATTGGTATGATTCTGGCAGACACAGCCAAACATGCGGAGCAAGCTGCACGCGCAGTCAAGATCGAGTACGAAGAGCTTCCGGCTATCTTTACAATCGAAGAGGCTATTGAGCACGAAAGCTTCTTCAATCACTTCCGTCACATCAAAAAGGGAGATACCGAAAAGGCATTCGCCGAGGCTGACCACGTCTTCACTGGCGTCGCGCGGATGGGTGGCCAGGAACACTTCTATCTTGAGACGCAGGCGTGTCTGGCCGTTCCAAAGCCCGAGGATGGAGAGATGGAAATTTTCAGTAGTACGCAAAACCCCGCTGAGACACAGGCCTATGTATCCAAAGTGGTCGGTGTCGCTGCTAACAAAATTGTCACTCGCGTCAAGCGCATGGGTGGCGGCTTTGGTGGGAAGGAGACACGTTCAATTCAGCTCGCTGGTATCGTGGCTTGTGCAGCGAACAAGGTCCGCAAACCTGTACGCTGCATGCTTAATCGCGACGAGGACATTATGACATCTGGACAGCGACATCCCTTCCTCGGTCGCTGGAAGGTCGCCGTCAACAAGGACGGCAAGATCCAAGCTCTAGACGCAGATGTTATTTGTAACGGAGGCTGGAGTCAAGATCTTTCTGGTGCCGTTGTCGAGCGCTCCCTTTCGCACATTGACGGCGTCTACTCGATACCCAACATCCATGTTCGCGGCCGCGTTGCAAAGACAAACACCGTCTCCAACACGGCATTCCGTGGTTTCGGTGGTCCACAAGGAATGTTCATTGCTGAGACATACATGGAAGAAATTGCGGATCATCTAAAGATACCAGTCGAGCGGCTGAGAGAGATCAACATGTACTCTCCCGAAACAAACATGGTCACACACTTCAATCAGGAAATCAAGGATTGGTATGTTCCTCTCATGTACAAGCAGGTTCAGGAAGAATCCCGCTATGCTGAGCGTCGCAAAGAGATCGAGGAATGGAACAAGACACACAAATGGAACAAGCGCGGTCTTGCCATTGTACCGACCAAGTTCGGTATCTCATTTACCGCGCTTTTCCTCAACCAGGCCGGTGCGCTCGTACATATCTATCACGATGGAAGCGTCCTTGTCGCGCATGGCGGCACAGAGATGGGCCAGGGACTACACACCAAGATGACACAGATTGCTGCTCAGACGCTCGGTGTACCACTCCAAGACGTGTTTATCAGCGAGACGGCTACAAACACAGTTGCAAACACATCTTCTACTGCCGCATCAGCGTCCTCTGACCTGAACGGGTACGCCATCCATAACGCGTGTGTACAGCTGAACGAGCGTCTTGCTCCATTCAAAGAAAAACTGGGACCCAAGGCGACTATGAAGGATCTCGCCCACGCAGCGTACTTTGACCGCGTCAACCTCTCTGCTCAGGGGTTCTACAAGACACCCGACATTGGCTATGTCTGGGGTGCCAACACCGGACAGATGTTCTTCTACTTTACCCAGGGTGTTGCTGCTGCCGAAGTCGAAATCGATACCCTGACGGGTGACTGGACCTGTCGACGCGCAGATATCAAGATGGATGTCGGTCGCTCAATCAACCCGTCCATCGACTACGGCCAGATTGAAGGTGCGTTTGTGCAGGGCCAAGGGCTGTTTACTACAGAGGAGTCATTGTGGTTGAGAGGAACGGGTGGCATTGCAACAAAGGGGCCAGGAAACTACAAGATTCCTGGTTTCAGGGACATTCCGCAGGAGTTCAATGTCAGTTTGCTAAAGGACGTGAACTGGGAGAATCTGAGGACTATTCAGAGGAGTAGGGGTGTGGGTAAGTGGTCACTTTTTCTATTTTGACTATGCTTCATGAGAGCAATTTGCTGATATGATACAGGTGAACCACCACTTTTCATGGGTAGTTGCGTCTTCTTCGCCATTCGCGATGCTCTTCGATCTGCTCGCGCACAGTTTGGCGAAACTTCGGTTCTGCACCTCACGTCTCCTGCCACGCCCGAACGCATTCGGATCAGCTGCGCGGATCCGATTTTGAAGCGCGCGTGGGTGGAGCCACAAGAGGGCGAGAAGAGCTTTTTCATTAGTATCTGAAGGAATCAGATTCTCAGGTGTTTGGGGATCGTGTATAGTAGTACATCATCATTGCTTCAATGGAGTACCGTGATCATCAGAGATCCTTTTCAAGTGAACCATCAAAGAACACACAGCTGCAACGCACAAATGCATGCACAAATCAAGGGGTTTCCACATCGATATTCTGATCTCGATGTAAAGTGGCAACAAGGGTTATGAGATGAGGTCGCTAGCGCGATCGCATGCCGATCCGCATCTAGGTACACCATCGTCATCTCAGTTCAATGACGTCGTCTGTCGCGAGCTCGACGCGTTAGCCCACCATGGCGCTCAAGGAGCAAAATCGCTTGTTTCAGCCTCTTCCTTTTTGTATCTGCTGCTTAAGTACGGCTACACCACCAAATTCTCAAGCACATGCTCCGTTCCTTTCACATCAGCGTTAGCCTTGGCGTCGCATATCGAACTACACCACGACTTTATGCGCCATCCTACCTACAGCAATCGAGCGTAATTTTGTCTCGCTTCCCCACAATGCCTCCCAAACGGAAGAGGTCGGCAGTTGCAACTGCCCCAGCTAATGCAGATAGCCCTCCGTTACCCCCTGGCAGGTCTCAAATTCGCAAAACAGAGGTGCCATTGCCACCCAATGTTCCAAGGCCAGCACGTCGCCAATCATCTCGTGGGATTAAAGCTGAAAAGATGGATCCTAGTTTCAACCCTGATATTCTTGACGGAGCTGCTGCGTTGCGCGCTTCGCCTGATGCACATGAAGACGCACCGATAGAGTCCGTCCTAAAGCCCCCAGTTAGCGACGGGGCGAAGGAAGAAAACAATGCATTAGACACGGAAATGGCAGACAAAGAATATCCCTCGTCTGCTGCAAAAGGCGGCACGCCTGCAGCTTCTGCAACGAAGAACAGGCGAAAGAAGGCCGGTGCCCAGCAAATCAAAGTGGAAGGAGAAGAAACCACCAATATCCGGGCCTCGGACGGTGGTACTGAGAACAGCGCGGTACCTGCAGCTGACACTGGGGTCCCCGGTGATCCTGAAAATGCCGACGGCGCAGAGGCGGATGAGGGCGACGAGCTAGAGTTCAAAGAAGCCTTGTCGAGACCCCCACCCGTCAACTCTGAATACCTTCCTCTTCCGTGGAAAGGGCGTCTTGGATATGTATGCATCCTGCATGCACTCTTTTTAACACAGGCTAACGCGTGTGCATACAGGCTTGTCTCAATACGTACCTGCGCAGCGCCAATCCTCCTGTCTTCAGTTCCAGAACTTGCCGAATCGCGAGCATCATTGAACATCGCCATCCCCTGAGAGACCCCTCCCAGGCCGAACATGCCACTAAAAACCGACCTGACAAAGATCAGCCGGCGGATGTTGCGCGAGGCATGAAGTATGTCGAAGAGATAGGCCTCGCCAATGCGCGGGACGTGAGTAAGATGGTGCGCTGGAACGACAAGTACGGCATCAAATTTATGCGGTTGAGTAGCGAGATGTTCCCATTCGCGAGCCACGAAGAGTATGGATACAGGCTTGAGCCATTCGCGGCTGATACGCTGCGCGAAGTGGGCAAAGTAATTGCCGAGCTGGGCCACCGAGTAACCACTCATCCAGGTCAGTTTACGCAGTTGGGCTCGCCACGGAAACAGGTCATCGACAATGCATTTCGCGATCTCGAGTACCACAACGAGATGCTTTCTCTGTTGAAGTTACCAGAGCAGCAAAATCGAGACGCTGTCATGATTTTGCATCTCGGAGGAGCATATGGTGATAAACCGGCTGCCATTGAGAGATTCAAGGAGAACTACGCAAAACTTCCTCAGGGCGTCAAGAATCGACTGGTTCTTGAGAATGACGACGTTGTTTGGTCGGTGCACGAATTGCTTCCTCTGTGCGAGGAGCTCAACATTCCATTTGTGCTCGACTATCACCATCACAATATCATTTTCGACGAGACTCAGATTCGCGAAGGCACAAAGGACATTATGGAACTTTACCCTCGCATTCTTGAGACATGGCACAAGAAGGGTATCACGCCCAAGATGCACTACTCGGAGCCCACGCCCGCTGCCATCACTCGCACGGCACGCAGAAAGCACTCACCTCGTGTTATGACGCTCCCACCTTGTCCTGATACCATGGACTTGATGATAGAAGCAAAAGACAAAGAGCAGGCGGTGTTTGAGCTGATGCGGACTTTTAAGCTACCAGGGTTTGACACTTTTAGCGATATCCTACCTCACACGAGGGGAGATGAGAACAGACCATGGAAACCCAAGGTCAAGAAGGCGCCCAAAAAGAGCAAGAAGAAGAAGAAGAACATGGATGATGTAGATGACGTTCAGGCAAAGATTGAAGACGATGAAGAAAAGGAGGAGGAGGAGGAGAAGCCTCCAGCAGTGGTCCCAGACGAGGAAGTGGGCATGGGAGGGCCAGAGGGACGAGTGTACTGGCCTCCAGGAATGGAGGACTGGCTCCGACCCCCAAAACGCATTGTCAAGAAAAAGGAAGACAGCGGCACTATACCAGCAAAGAAGAAGCGCAAGACGGCAGGTGACGCGGCGTCTATGGCCAGTTCGTGTGGTCCAGTGGAAGATGTCGAGACAGCGATAAAGACGGCAGCCAAGAAGTCTGCGCCGGGTAAGCGGGCTGCAGCAAAGGGTACCAAGAAGAAAGCAGCAGCTAAGGCCGTGCCAACACCTTCAGCATCTGACGAGGACGAAGATCAGCTTAGCTCGCCCCCGCTCAGCGATGTAGGGACCGAGGACGAGGCTCCTGCCGTGCAGAAGCGAGCTGCACGGGCTGGCTCGACACGGCAGAAGTCTAGCAGGGCCAGGGCTCGGGTAAGCTACAAGGAAGAGGACGTGGAGGAAATCAACGTGTAAGCGTGTGGGCAGACATAGATACTAGGCGAGATGACACAAAATGCATGTATGAATACATGGAGGACAGATTTCAGACCCTTTGATCCGAGCCAATTTCTGTCATGACCGATGAGAGAGAGAGAGAAAAAGGGGGGTTGTATAATGAGTGTTTGCAATGCGAAACCAACCAAAAAAAAAGTCCGAAGTAGGCTGCGACGATGATTTCCTTGCCCGCTTCAGACAGGTAACCCGTCCCCCGCCCTGTTAGTATGGATGGTCATGCCAACCAGTCAATCAGTCAGTCAGTCAGTCAGTCCGCCAGTTCAGCTGGGCCAGCCACACTCAAAACCCACACTTAACCGCCTTTGTACTGTTGTCCCGCAAGACTCGCGACTCAAAACTTTGCTTGTTTCTCCCGTGGATATTGTGAAATTGCATGGCATTTATGCGCCCCGTGCTCTTGGCTGACACTCTCTCGTATTGTTGTTGTCCGGGGTGTGTGTGTGTGTGTGTGTGCCCAAGAAGCTATGAAGACAGAGGACGTATGTATGTGTGTATGTATGCATGTATGTAGGTCTGTACGTGGGGTATGGGAAGCGCGGTTGGCTATCTATTTACCTTCCCAAGATAGCCTAGGAGAAAAAAGTTTCGACATGTGTGTGGGTGAACATGCGTTCCGTGGTGGTCATGATGAAGCAAGGACATGCCTACATGTTTTCTTTTTCTTTTTCTTTTTGGTAGTCATGCTTTCTCATCCTTGCCTTATTCTTTTACTGTTTTTTTCTCTCTTTCCATGATGATTCATTGTGGCATCAATTGCAAGTTTACTTTGAATTGGCATGAAGCTCGTATTTATCAACCATGTTTATGTGATGACAATGTTAATAACAAGAATGATCATAATAATAACTAATCATAAAGTGGGTGAAACTTTATTCATGACGGCGGGACATGGAGATTTGGAACAGGCAAAAAACTTGGCAACTTCCAGAACGCTTCGTCGAAGCGGCAGCAGGCCCAATTCATGGCTGCAAGTAGCGCAACGATTACTTAGCCGACGATTGCCGCAACATCCCGCAGCCGTCAGCATCGTCGTCATCATCAGCAGCCATCAGCGGCAGGCAACTTGTTCTGTGTGCCTTCGATTGCATACCCCACGCCGGAAGGCGGGACAGGGAGGGCAGCGGGCGGGCGTTGGTTTGGCGCGTCTCTGGAGTCATGTTTTTTTTGGGGGGGGGGGGGCTACAGTATGTATGGGTTGTGATGGTGGCAGCATTGTGCGTTGGGGGCTTGGCCTTGGCGCTCGTGTTGACTTGGAGCAGTGGTGGCAGGACAGCATGAATATGGGCGACGGGTTTGGGCTACATACGGGTACGGCGGGCATGCGGGGTGTGCCATGTCTCTGTGCGTGTATGCGTGTATGCGAGTGTGGTGCGGACAAGCAGGACCAAAAAGCGAGGTGTGGGTGAGGGGTAAGTAAGGGTAGGGGAGCAGGAGTGCCAACGTCGACTACGACTACTGCTGGTGCTACTGCTGCTGTGGTGTGCGGATCAAGCAGGCACAATCACAGCGCATAAAGGGAGCTATCGATTAAGCTATCGATGCAGACGCAGGAGCTGGCGGATGAAGGTTGCGCCGTGTGTCGTGAGTGGCTGTGTGCTTCAGGTGTAGTGTGGGGTGGGGGGTTGGCAGCTGTGGTCGGAGGACATGGCTGGAAGAGTAAAGGCGTGTGTTGTTGGTGTGGCTGTTTTGGCGAGGGCATGCTCAGGCACAGGCGCTTTTTTTGGAACAATTGTTATTTTGACCTTGGAATTAGCATCCCACAATGGCGGCATGGTGGACGGTATGGCGACATTCGAGGGCTTGGTATGTGGCAGAGGGACAAGGGCGTTATCAGTGGACATGGCCATGGGATCACTGTGGGCTTCGACTCGTATTGTGTTCCCGGATGTCCCGTTAGCCGGGCAAATCGTCATAGTATTTTTTTTCGCACTGGATGGATGCGCGCCTGGGCCGGCTGTCATGGTATGAGGGACTAGAGGTGTGTGTGTGTGTGTGTATTTGTGTGGTAAGCATTGTCGACCTGGTTTTTTTCCTCCCTCCGTTTAGGCTTTTTTTTCGAGCAGCGATGAACAAGGCGGACGAGAATGGCGAAGATCATGATCTAGAATGCGCTTCATTAATCGACGATCATGGAGCTTTCAAAGATCTAGGCCTTTGGTGTTGCAGAGAGGCCTCTTGGACCCCAAGGCCAATCAAGGACAGCGAGGGATGGCTATCCGCAAGCAGTTTACTTCCCGCGGCTACATATCTGCACAGCCTTGTACAGATTGAGGTTCACGCCCGGTCCATGGCCATGCCCATGGACGCTCGAATCGAACATTCGGCACGCTAGTGTGCAAGGCCCCCCTGGCCCTGTCGAGCGTGTGCAGGGTGGTGATGATGGTGGGTGGTGGTACAACTCGGCGAGGGTTATTCTGGGGCGGCGATGAGAGACAAGGGGGCTGTCAACGGGACTCTCGGTGGGCAGCGTGCATTGGACCGCTAGCTCGTCATTCAGGCGGGCATGAGATGTGGTGAACAAGACGACAGTGGTGGGGAGTGGACTGCAACGTGAATCAACGGGCAGGTAGGCGGTGTGGCGTGATTGAGGGATTAGGTGTTTCAACGGGCGAACGCAGACTCCGCGGCGGTTGGGGCGCGAACGAAGGATGGCTGTGGCTTTTTTGGTACTAGAGCCGAGTCGTTTGAGCGCGACTCTGACGACAGTGCAGCAGCCACACGGTGTGGAGCAGTGTTGAGTCGGATAAACTGCGGAATGCAGCGTGGGTTGCCATTGCAAGTCGAGTCGCGATAATGCCCTGACTGTGCTGTGCTGTGGTGCTCAGACCAGGACGCAAGGACCACGGCCGCTGATAAGGGACATGGAGATATCTACACGAGAGGCCTGAGCGCCCTGGTAATCATGGCCATGGCCGTGGTGCAAAACGGCGGGCCAAAGCGCCGCCATCCGCATCATTTCGTGCAAACAAGGGCGGATATTACACGTGTATGCAGACAGCTGTCTGCCGGAAGGCTGGGGGAATTGGGCGTCTCGGTGGCCGGGCCTGTGTATGTGCGTGTGGCTGAACAAGGCTGCATCGTGGCCAGGTATACTGTAGTACTTAGTATGTCCATGTACCGGACGAGTCACGACAAGGTGGGCTGCTTGGAGGCCCGCCTGCACCCAGCATGACATGCTACCGAGACCATCGTCATGGCTGGCCGTGCTGGGATGCTATGCATCGTAGTGGACGAGAGCGGCTATGCTGCTTGGCCATTGTCTGTGCTCAAGGCTTCACCGGCGTGACCATGGTGTTGCTCCGTTCTTTTTTCTTGACCACTACTATGGCCATGGTCACACGTCGTATATGGGAATTGCAGAGACCCCTTCTCGTCCGCGCTCCGTCGTGGCGTCGTCGTGGCAGACATACACAGCCGTCTGCTACATGGGCGCATCCTCTCTTGTTGCCTTCGGGTTTCGCCTTCTCCGGCTCAGCCGCAGAGCTGAACTCTGGGTGAAACAGCAGGTGAAATGACGTGTGTGAGGTAAAAGCACTTTGGTGGTCGACTACATACGGAGGTGCCCGATGCGCCGTTGTTGTACTCTTGCTGACAGTGACATGACTTGGTTTTTTTTTTCGTTCGCCGGCCACAGCATCAGCACGACCACGACCACGACCACGCAGCTACACGAATAATTCAGCCTTTGGCCCCTACCCGGCCACGACGTGGATAGCATTAGCTCGGCGGTTCTACACGTACCCGAAGACCGAAACCCCTCGCTCCCCGTTCGGGCCTTTTGAACATGTTTTGCAACAGCCCACTCTAATGTAAAAGATGGTGTCGCCAACAAGCGCGGCCCCATGGAAAGATCGTGGGTGCATGACTCGGTAGCGAGGGCAGAGGATGTCGGGCATACACAGGCGCGTCGTCTCGCAACGAGATGGCCTCCTGGCCATGTGCGGGCTTGATGGTCGTGTGTTACGTACCAGATTGCTTCCCCGGATTTGCCCTGCCCGACGCTGGCGACGCGGCGAGTAGGCGACGAGCAGCCCAGGCGCGCGAACCCGTTGCGCGCTAGGCCCCAGACGGGCCTAGCGTTTCCGGCCGGGCCGAGTAGCCTGCGAACCATTGGCTGCGTCTGGCGTCGACGTGTATAGTCATGGCCATGGCATGCAACACAGACTACGTCAGTGGCAGTGTTGCGACATTACTCTACACATCCACTTCCCTATCGCCATCGCCATCGCCATCGCCCACGCCAGCTTTGCCATGCCCGCTGCTGTGGACAGCCACCTCGCGCCAAGCTGCCGGCCACCCCGACGATGCTACTCCCACTCCTTTCTTTTCCCCCCCCCCCAGCCCCGACACACTATTTTTAAGGCACGCCTCGGTGCCGACTGCGCGTCACACGTTCGGCGCCGTCATTGGCCGCCTACTCTGCCATGTCTCATTCCGCTCTCACCGAAAACGCGCGCCTCTGGGGATCAAGTGTTGGCCTTGTTGGTTGGAAAGCCGCTGCGCCGCGGAGATTGAACCGCGCCCCTCAACAATGCAGCAATACTCGACTTTCATCCTGTCGCCCCCCAATCATCTCCCCTGGCCGTGTGCTATGAAACAAGCGTTGAAACGGGCGGGCAGCGCGGACGAACATCGATGCTCTCCATCCGACTTGTCTCCATGCTTCAAGCCACCCCTGACCTACACCTAGTTTCGAGGGGCCCCATGCACCCTCAATATTTCCCGTCCCCGCAAAAAAACCCCCCAATTGCCGCATATATGTGTTGCGCTCTACTCTTGATATACCGAGGACCAGGCGTGCTACAAAGACGTCGACAATTGCATGTGCAAACCCCACGAGCCACCCAGTACGGCCGTAGCACAATCAAAGTCGCATGATCCTCGGTACCTGGCAGAGATCACCGTAGATCTCCTTTGGGGGTAGTAGCTGGTAGCGTAAGCTGAGCACGGCGCGCCCGTCTGCAAGTCGGTACGCTCGGTCGGTACCTTCCGGTGTCCTTCCTATCGCAGCCTTCTCTCCTCGCACTACAAGGAAAGTGGGCCTCCACAAGAAAAGATAGAGAGAAAGAAAAAAAAGTATACATAGTACAGTAGACAGATACGCCAAGTTGGTCGCGTTTGTCGGTAGATTCGTCCGAGTGACGTTTGGCGAGCTGCAAGAGCTGCCCAGCATCCGTCGGCGCAGCCAGTAGCAGTCCAGTTGTGTGTTATTCCCATGGCGAGGGCACGGCGCTGTTCTCGTGTTTCCCACTACACCTACACCTACGCTTCCAAGCTCGAGCCACGCTCAGCACCTTATCCTAACCTATCCCCCTCTCGTATGTGTGTGCCTGTCGTCTCTTTTTTTTTTCTCTTTCTTGTCCTTACCCATTACCTTGGGAGCCGGTAGTCCAACTACGCAACCCCATTTGCCGGGTTTCTCGGCCGTACGCAAGCTGCTCGAGGGCGATGATGCAACCTGTGTGTGCGCGCGTTATCTGTAACCCTCTTTCACTTACTTCCCACCCATTCACCCCCCCCCCGCCCCTTTGATCGTCGTGGGCTTCTATACAGACCATTGCCAAGCAAAGGCCATCGGGCCAACCTTCCTGCTGCTTGTCCTTTGCTGCGTGCTGACTGGCTCCCTTGCTTTGCGACCATCCCAGGGTTAAAAAGGCTCTAGGGGCGGCGAGGGCACGCCGTCCCTCTCTTTCGCACCATGACTGCCGAATGGGACGGGGCATGTGGCCATGCATGTCTGAGTCGCCTGCACTGAACGAAGCCCCTCTCTTTGCCCCCCCCCCCTCCTCTTCGACTTCTCTCCCCTCCCCTCCCCCTCCCTCCCTCCCAACATTTCACACACCACCCTCCAGCATGCATCTGCAATTGTGCCCTCGTGGTAGCTCATGTCCCAGTGCCCAAAAACTTGTGTAGCCACACCTGCCCTTCTATGTATCCCCGACGCCGTCTGATCAATCGTCACCCGCCCACCTCTGCATGCACGTGGGGGCCGCTATGTGCGATGCTGCTACCAGACCACGATCGTCGCCAGCCTGCACAACCCCTTCTCCACCTTCCCATCATCATCTTGCTTCAACACCCCTCCCAGCCATCACCATCACCATCACCATAAGCCCACATCAACTTGCTGAGTCATGGCAAATAATAATTTATACTACTAGTACATTGTTCTTGTTTCGTTTTGCTCTGCGTATTCCCAATATGCAATGCATTGCCAGCCGCCCTTTTTGTTGAGCCCATCCAGCCTTTGACCAAAAGCCGCCGACTTGCTCCTTCGTAAATATTGCTACAAAATTATTCCACCAAGGAGAGCAAAAAAAAACAAGCTTCGCCCGCTTGTCGCCTTTTCCGCTGCAAAAAACCCAAAAAACCCTGTCATTATGCTTTTTTATGCCTCTTTCCTTCTTCGTAGCCTTCGTATAGCTTGTATCCAGCAAGCTCAAACAAGATCAAATGACAATGTATTCCCCGTCTACGCGATCCATGGCCTTCCTCCACCGGAACGGATGCTGCATCGTACTAAACGGCCCGTTTTGTCTCGGCACGTGCACATGACCATCTGACCACTCGTCGTCTTCACGCCATACTCGTTCCAGCACTTCCAGCCCGCTGAGGTTGTTGAAGAAGCCGCTCTCGCGTTGAATCTCCACGCACCGCTGTCGCACAATCGCCCGGTGCTCGGGATCCACACACTCGGTGCCCACAATAAAAAGCGGCCAGAGCAGAAACTTGTTGACGCAGCTCGTCATGCCAATCTGAGAAATGTGGTACAGACCCTGCGACACCAGGTTCTGGAAGTTGAGTGCAGACGCGGGGAGCGTCGGCTGTGCCAGCCGCTCCGTGTAAAGAAGCGCTGCGTACCGGAAACTCTCGCTAATGTGCAGCAACGCCGCCTGCTCTTGCGACATGACAAGCATAGACGACGTTGCATCGCACGAAGTCGAGTACACATCTCCCGGCGAGGGAAACTCCCACTCTTGCAGTCGGATGCGAAGATCGCTCCATTCTGTCCAGAAGGCCGAGCGCCCATCGTCGCGTGCCGGAGTGAAGCCATCCGCCTGCTCCTTGATCGGCGATCCCCACCCATTACCATCCGTATTGTCAAAACTAAAGGAATAGAAATCCTTGACCTTCTTGGGCCGCGGTGAGGATGTGGGCGTGTCGTCGTTGTCGCGTACAGGTCGGTTCTGACTAAGCAGGTTGAGCCTTCCAAGCCGTGCAATGAGCTTGAACAGACGTCCTTCGCAGCCAGAGTGATGTTCTAGCGCACCCAGATTGGCGCTCAGGTTCATCATGTCGAGAGAGTCGCCGCGCACTTCAATCTCGCGGTCATTGACGGCTGCCGTCATGACATCAAACCACGTGAAGAAAGTCTCGATCCAGCCCACAAACTCCGACTGGACGCTTCGGTCGCGCAGACTCAGCAGCTTCTGCACCCCGGCCAGCTGCGTCTTGAATTTTGTGAAGCCAGAGTCGCATACATGGAAAAGACAGAGAATGAGAAGCGTGGCGAGTACAGAGTCGTCCTGCGAGCCCTCGTAGTCGACCAGCTTCTTGTTGAGTAGAGCAATCGAGTTGGCCTTGTAATGCTTCTCTTCGTCGGTGGCTTCGCCGTGCATCTCGCGCAGCTCGCTCGTCGTCATTTGCGAGTAGGCGTGTTCGGGGATTACCCGGGTATCGTGGAGCACGCTTAAGCGACGCCCCTCAATGCCTCCGCGCATGCGCATGTTATTTGTGGCCAAAGCGCCAATGGCATTCTGCAACTCGGCATTTTGCATGGCAAGATGGATGATATGCATCCGGTAGGGATTCTGCGGCGTGTCAAAAGCCACCAATACCGGGCATATAAATCTGTCGTAGTAGTCCAGCAGGGATAGCATCCGCGGGGAAAGTGGCGAAGCGAGGGAAAGACTCTGAGGAATACAAGTGGTGAGCGACAGTACGTCTTGAGACAGGGGGCCAGAGCCATAGGAAGACATACCCTCCGACGGGAGAAAGGAGAAACCGGGCTGAAATGCATTGAAATTCGAGCTCATCTCTCCTTCAGTAAAAACATCATGAAACGCGACCGGGCCCATGCTCTGTGGGGCGGTGCTGATTTTGGGGTAATCGTGTAGACTTTGATCCGAGCTCACGCTCGAGCTCATGTCGTCGCCGGCGGGCAGGGAGCGAGGGGCTTCATGGAGGAAGTAGTTGTCCAAGGAGCTCATGGGCGCCTGGTCGAAAGGGGGATATCGTGGTATTGAGGGGTCTGCAAATGGAAATTCGTCGACTGGGGTGTTGGGGAACTCGCTCGGTGAGGGAAAGTCGCTGTCGCTGTAGGTGCCGAGGGATGCCGATGATGCCGACATGCCATTATCTTCAAAAGGAACATGCAGAGTTGTTTGTAACCGCTGCAGGGGACCTCGGTGGGGCTGGTGATGCCTGAACTTGGAAGCCTGTGGGTGCAAGAATTCAAACGCCTGTTCCCTGTGCTGGTGCATGGGGAAGCCCATTGGTGTAGAGGGTGTGGGGATGGGTATTGGGCTGGTTGGGCTGAAGTACTGGTATTCCTGTGGCGCCGAGAACATGGGGCTGGTGGGACTCCTGGGCGAGTGAGCACCAAAGTCGATGCTGGCGCGGTGATGGAAGTGATGTTGGTCTTGGTGGGAGCTGGCGGCCGACGAACTGCTGACTGAGGCAATGGAGTTCATGCGTTGTGTCTTTGGTTCCTGCACTGTGGCGGCAGGTGGAGACTTTGCAACGGGCAGCGTCATGCCTCGAAGCTTTCCACGGCTAGCTACACCCACGCCCCAGGTCAGGGTGGTGCGGTATCCCGAGCATTCCTTGCCAATCTCCACACACTGGCCACAGTAGGGACGGCGTCGATCACATTTGACTTGACGCTTCTTGCATGAAAAGCAGTCTTCGGTGGCTCCAGTAGCGGGCGCTCTTCTTCTTCGTTTCCTCGGAGCAGCGGCGGCGGTGGTGTTGGTGTTGGTGGTAGTCGTGGTGGTTGTGGTGGTGGCGGCAGTGGTAGCGGCAGTGCCGTCTACTTTGTCTGCGTCTGCAGTCTGGGTGGATGGAGAGACGGCCATGGTGGATGGGTAGAAGAGGCAAATGTTAGTGCAGAACTGTGCAATGGTGCATCTGCAGGATGTGGACCGTGGATAGTGGGAGTGCAAACAGAACAGACAAGATGGCGAGGGGGCGCAATGCTCAATGGAGCATAGAAGCGCGTCACGGTGGTGGGTATGTAAGTATTATTATTTTGGCCTGAGGGGTCTGGGTAAAGGAAGCTTGGTCCCCGTCCGATAAGGTAGGGCCCCAGCAGACAGGGCCCATGGGATGCCAAGGGGAAGGATGCAAAATGCCGCGGCATAGCCAGCGCTAGGGTATTAAGAGTAGAGGTGGTCATGTTCAGAGATGTGCATGAAGGATTGGCCTGCAGGGAGCAGGCCTGGGTGCCGCATGTTCTGGCGGCGGGCAAGGCTTCGAGTGGGATTGTGGCAACCTGCTAGGGACGGCGAATTGCAGGGTCGGGGGTTACATCGTGTAAAATGGTGGGCACCCCGGAAGAAGCTTGACAGGATGGCGACGGACGCTTGCTGCAGGACGGACGCTCCACCAATAGGACCATGGTGCACCCCGATCGACTCCTACCTGCCGCTAGGTTCGGAGCAGCTAAGGCGCCCCGGCCAGTGAGAGAGCGTTGAGCGCGCCTGGGGGGAGGCGTGGGTGCTTGCTTGCTTGCCTGCAGCACAGCCAGCGGCGATAGCGTCAGGTCCAGCAGCCAAGGGGCCAGTCCTGGCGAATAGCCAGGCGCAGGCAGAGGCGGAGCCGACCGATGCGACGACGACGACGACGACGACGGCGAGGGTGGTCGTGTGCGCCGTGAGCCTGTGTGGGTGTGGGTGAGTGTGTGTGTGGGCGAGGGTGTGGGTGAGTGGGTGAGTGGGTGAGTGGATGGGAGAGAGAGAGGGAGAGAGGGAGCGGGCGAGCGAGCGGGCGCGGGAAGATGCATCGAAGTCGTCTGGAAGAGCAGCCCTTTTGCGCCAAGCCCAGCCGCAGAGCACGTAGGGAAGGAACGGCCTGCCTGCCTGCCTGCCTGCTTGCTTACTTGCTGCTTGCCTGCCTGCCTGCCGCCTGCCTCGCGCCTGCCTCGCGCCTGCCTCACGTCCCTTCTCAGCATATGCGCACCCGACGCGGGCGGCGGATCTGCTGCACCGGCACCAGCACCGGCACCAGCACCGCCGGCAGCCAACACGAAATGCGCGAGGGTGATGCAATTTGGGCGACGTCTGACGGCGGGCACGGATATTGCAATGACATCGACGTGGATGATGCACAGCTGCAAGCAATTGGCCGGGGCCTCTGCAGGAGCTTGGCAGAACCGTTCTTGTGAGACGGCCGTGATAGCGCATGCCCGTCTGATGGAATGAGACAGCGAAATGACCATCGTCATGACCTGCCACCTCCACCCGGCCTGGCTGCTGGCTGCATCGCTTACCTCGAGCACGCGCCCTCTCCCTCACCTCCCTCACCACCACTACCACCACCACCACCACCATGACTACCACCGCCGCTGCCACTGCCCCCTCCCCCCTCCACAGGCGCCACGTCCCGCGCCAGGCATCCACGCATCTCACCTCAGCCCCCTCCCCCCCGACCCGTTCGCGCCCACTCCCTCCCAAGCCGCATCCGCTGCTACTACGCCTACTCCCTGTCCGGGTCAGACGCCCTCGCAACGGGCCCGTCGCTCCAGCGCGTCCTGACCGATGGCCTGCACACCTACCGACAGCTAGGCGGCTTGCTGCAACGGGCACGTGAGCGCCAAGGCCCACGCCCGGCCACTCAGCGATTTGTCTCAGGTAATAAGCAACTCCAGACGCCCCAAGCGACTCTGCCACACAAGACTACACTCGTCAGTAGCCCTGTGTGTTCCTGGGGAAAGGCCCCCTCTTGTCAATGCGCCTGCGCACTCGTCCACACGCGGGGTAGAGAGGGAGACAGTATGGGGGGATACGGAAAGCCACACCTCGTCTGCCCATGGCCCTTGGCGAGTCAACGGCCTTTTCTCTGCTCGCGACCGAGTGCAGCCTCGCCTTCATGTGCTAGTGGGCCTCTGGACCCCGGCCCGGGCATTCATATCAAGGCCTATGTGTCTGTACGCAGAGCCTCAGCCATGCTGACAGACGGCCTTGCCTTGTGACGCCTTTGGTCCGTCGAGGGCTGCGGCCAAAGTCACTGGCCAACATCTCCCTCCAGCCCCAAGGTGATGCTGGGGGGGGGCCGAGTTTGTCCGCGGCCTGCGACTAGACGGATTCCCGTGGGACACGTCTCGAAGCGACCGGACCACGACTACTATTACAACACTCATCTCCGCCGAAACAATTCTCCCGGCCCCATTCCTGCTCCTGCAAACATGGCTTCCCGCACGTCAGCCTTGCCGCTACACAGTCAAACCGAGGTCTCGACTCGATAGAGCAATCCTTCCGTGCGGTGACGATCATCATCTCCCTGGTATACTCGCGGGAACCAGATTGTAGCTAAATGCACAATTAGAACAACCGGCGGCTATGCTAGAGAAAAACAGTCAATGCTCCGAGGCGCCCTGTGTGTGTTTTTGCTCTCCACAGCAACCTGCGCTAGCGGACAGCTCCGTCGCCGGGGGGCCCACTGGACCACCTCTCCAAGGCTGAATGTCTTTGGCTGCCCAACTTGCCTACACGCTTATGCGACCGAGTGCGCAATGCTGCTTGCACTTGCACCGGCGTAAGCAAAGGCGGCCTGTTTGCCGCGGCCTCACAGGCGTCTGGAGATCTGTTGGATGGCTGCATGGCGGATGCATCGCACGTGAAAGCACTATTGGACATGCTGGCATGGCGCCACAAAGTTTCGGCTGACTAGCTCAATCCGCCCTAGCCCTGCACACATGCACAGGTAATTTTTCGACTTCAAGGCCTCTTCGTGATCAATTCTATTACAAAGGATGCCATATAGCCCGGTGCGAGCAGTACGAGGCGGGGTAAGGATAGCTCGACGTGACCAGCCTTACGAGCATCCCGCCTTGTGACGACATGCCCTTGCCGGCCCCCGCTTCTTTGCACTCAACGCCTTTGTACCTAGGCAATTCAAGATGCTAGTCGACAGGAGCATGACAACGCCCTTCCCAAACACTAAACTCCTTTTGCAACACCGTTGCCCACAGCTATTTCGTCGAAATTAGATAGATTCATACAAACACGTTCATCTCTTGGCGATTGGGTGTATTCTTTTGCAGTCTTGTTTCGCAGCTTCAGAGCAAAGAGTACATACTACAGACTGTGAACGCACGGGCCATGCTATTTCTGACTAACACGAGCTCCTGCGCAAGCTCGGCTCGCTCCACCTCGGTGTATCCCCGCAACCATACCTCATGACAACAATGCACGTCATTTCATGCCTTCTTGTCTGACCCAAAACAATCGCTACCAGCTTCCGTCTCTTTGCCATGTCGTCCAAGTTCCTCTGTCTCCGCGCGGCGCGTCTCGCGGCGCGTTACCCGTGCCATCGACGAACATTTGCTTCAGCCGCCGCTAGCCGCACCGACCACGTTCGCATCGTAGAAGTCGGGCCACGCGATGGACTGCAGAATGAAAAGCAGACGGTGCCCCTGGCCACAAAGATAGAATTGGTCGAGAGGCTGGCTGGCACTGGCTTGGCCACCATCGAGGCCGGCTCCTTCGTATCGCCAAAATGGGTGCCACAGGTCAGAGAGACGTGTTGGAATTTATCAGAAACCCACTCACACACGAATCCAGATGGCCAATTCCACCGATATACTCGAGCATGTACTTGACCACTCCCCGCAATCACCCCGACCAATCACATACCAATGGCTCCTGCCAAACGTCAAAGGGTTCGACAATTTCCTCTCCACCTGGCAGTCAAAGTCTCGGCCGCCTATGCATGAAGTCTCTATATTCACTGCCGCCACCGAGTCCTTCTCCCAAAAGAACACAAATTGCTCGGTAGCCGAATCACTCAAGCGTTTCGCGCCAATCATGTCCAAAGCAAAGGAAATGAACCTCAACGTCCGCGCATACATTTCCGTCGCCCTCGGTTGCCCGTTCGAAGGTCCAAATGTGGACCCTCATAAAGTTGCAGAGCTGGCCGTGAGCCTACTGGAGATGGGTGCTGATGAGATCTCGGTCGGAGACACTACGGGCATGGGCACTGCACCCAAAACAATGGAGCTGCTGAAGACCTTGAACGCTGCTGGCGTGGACAAGAACGATCTTGCCATGCATTTCCACGATACATATGGCCAAGCGCTAGTCAACTCGGTCGTGGCTCTCGAGCATGGCATTCGTACCTTTGACGCGGCAGTAGGTGGTCTTGGAGGTTGCCCTTATAGCCCCGGTGCAACTGGAAATGTTTCTACCGAGGACCTTGTTCACTGCTTCCACAGCTTGGGTGCTACTACTGGTGTTGATATTGAGAAGCTTGCAGAAGTGGGTGCGTGGATCTCGCAAGAACTAGGAAGGCCAAATGAGAGTCGAGCTGGAAAGGCAACACTAGCTAAAGTGCGGGAAGCACCTTGAAGTGTTTGAATAAAGATTTTACTCAATTATCACAACTGCTACCTAGTCATGAGCAATCCAACCGTTATGTAAATATGTTCATGTTTCTCAGGAATAAATATAGCCCCACAACACTATCTAGCCTATTATTTGCTTAATGAAAATAGATCGAAGTAGGAAATATATAGTTACTAAACTCTTCTTCTTCTTCTTCTCCTTCTTCTTCTTCTCTCTATGAAGCTAGAATATACTTTATACCACTTCAATATTCCTTTAGGCTGCTTCTACTTGTATACTCCAACATATTAACCATCATTATACCAACTAGAATCCCTAAAAGGCAATCTTGATTTAAGATCAGTTTTTTATCCTACTTCCTTTCAAGCACTCTATTCTACAATATGCATTAATCTAGGAACATCTACTTCTACTCCTTTCAAAGAGATATAACCCCTGGAAGAGTATACTAGCCCCTGTAGTCTCTGGTACACCTCACTAGCGATTGACCTCGTAGATACCGAGTTTATTTACTCTGCTCCATCTACTTGTGATATGCAACGTACTCAACTCGCCTGTATCTTCTTATATATTTCCCCACTTTGGAGTTGAGAAGAACTGATTCATCGATGATATACTTCTACCTCTTATGCAATACCATGGCACGGAGAATGAATACAGTCTTTTCATTATTGAAGAACTACATCTTAGCTTGTAAGAACTGAAATGCTTTTTAATCAAACATCATTGCAATCAGTAGACTGCTGAGCAAAGTATATTTTATGCACAAAGGTCTTGTGTTTACTTAAGGCTCTCTCCATTTGCAAATATTAATAGTAGTTATATATTACCATCTATAGGAGTTGATAGATTAAGACGTACTTGGATGTTAAGAGAGAATTAATTCGATTACTCCCGCTGTTAAAAGACAAAAAAACTTTGGAAATACATAGATACACGAAGCCAAAGATATCCAGTCATTGATCAACATGTATCTGATCCGCTAGTTAACTTGACTAGGGTATAATGATTTAATCTTTTTACGCAAAGAGGACTTGGGTATCGCTTCTAATAATACATCAACAAAGTTAGACGGACACCTACCCCCTGGCAGGTTCACAAATACCCTATAAGATATGTGATATAGTAACCTACTGCTATTTTCTATTGTACACTCTACTGAGGCAGAAAAACCCACTGCCCTAGCATGTCAAGATTCCGCACAAATCAAATCACTATTGACATGGTTTGAGTACTTTATCTTGTTGAAACCATGTGTGAAGTGAACAGCAAAGAGGAGCTTGTCAAGTTTTTTGTTGTATTTTATGCCAGAGGTGCCCCTTTCGATTCGAGTAAAAATTCCAAAAAACAGCTCTAATGTACCCTCAAGGAATGTATACAGTATGAAATAATTCTTGCTCATTATCTACAGAGGGGTGACACGAAAAAAACGTCACTCAAAAAGTTGTTATTTTAAAACTTTAATATATAGCTGGAAAAAATAGCTAAAGATAAACGGATTGCAGATCTAGAAAGCCAAGATCTCCTAGTTCGGCATAGTGAGCCTACCTCCTGCTTAGTCAGCAGCTCTGAGCGGAGAAAAATTATAGAATATAGGAGACTAAAATAATAAAAATTTCATTTATTGTAAAACAATAGTCCTTACTTAAAAAGGCTTGGTTTTGAGATATGTGACTGTAACGGCGCAGGTAAGGCAGGTCGGATCTGTTTCGGTCGTAGGATCACTCAGAGGCATATGGGAGTGCGTGGGATCACAAAGAGCCTAGATTCAACAAGCCACCTATAGGCCTTGTACGAAAGGATATCAAAAGTCTACAGAGCTAGCTACAGGGAGTGTCTCAATATATACCTATCCTAGTCGGGTCCGAATTCGGATCCGACCTGGCGAATGGCTGATGAA